GTAACGCCCGAGCAGAGCGAGCGTTCTTGGATAGCGCTACTTCCTTCCGATTGGGGCTGGTACTCAGATGTTCGTCTGGGTACGCTGCCTTCTGGTTATATCCACCCATTGTAAATTCGCAAGAAACTTCGTTAGTCATAGCAGACCTCCAAAGAGGTGGGAAACCGATGGACATATTAACAGGGAAGGGTTCATTCTTCATAGGCGCAGAAAGGGTTTGTAAAAAAACAGGAATAAGCTTCACAAAGACATTCGGGGTAGAGACAACAGTCATGCACCTTCACTACGAGGATACACCACTGGCACCACCTTCGATCAAAACTCAAAATGATTCCGCTCACGTATTAAAAGAATGAACACTATCTGTCCAGCGAGGATGATGTCTGACCTTCAGGGGCCGGCAGTGCGCAGATGTAGCGGTTGAGGACGTTGAGCAGACTGCCTGGAATGGTTTTCTGGTTATAAACACAGAATTGATTTGTTAACCGCCATATCAAACAGACGCGGATATATAATTTATCCGATTCTTATCTGGAGATCATATACTAGAAACCGTAGAGGGAAGGTTGGGGGCCCCACTGAAGAGCCCGAGCCTTCGTCGCTGTATCACGCAGCAGCAGAAACATCGGAGGAACACGTGTCTGGGCTTTTAGCTAGTACCTATGCGGGAGTACGGTATAACGGCTTCGTCATAGAGAATTCAGCCTTCGGAAGTGCCTATGGATCCGACGTGATATTTCTATATCCACAAAGATCCGCGTGTACCGTGCATCTGTGCGGTCCGTTCTTCTATATGGATGCGAATGTTGGGCTATACGCGTAGAAGATGAACGAAAGCTGGAAGTCTTTGACCACTACTGCTTGAGGACCATCCTTCGAGTGAAGTACACCGACTTCGTCTCAAATGAGACAGTCCGCACTCGCAGCGACAAAATCAAAAGGATATTCCAGGTCATTCAAGAAAGACGACTGAGATGGTTTAGACACGTTCTTCGTCGACAAACTCAGGAGCTCAGTGCTACTGCCCTTGACTTGAAACCGTTACCTAATTGGAAACGTCGTAGAGGGGGTCAACTGAAAACCTGGCTCGACTCAGTCCGTTAGGACAAGGAAGTGATCCTTAGACCTTTGGTATTCGGTCTCCGGCGCTGAAGAAGAGACTGGGTGGAGCTCTCCAGATCCGCTGTTGCAAATCCTAACGCATCCCTAGTAGCAAAGTGGACAAAATCCGGTATAAATCCGGCATATGTATCCGGATTTTTCCAGTAGGATTCCATAATGGAATCTGCTTGGATTTGCTACTAGGGTGGATGTGGATCAAGTAGACTCCGGAGGGCTGGACTTGCCCATGATTAAGGTTGTCCGTCCTTCGTCTGCCGGGACAATCATAATTTCATTGTCGCTCTTGAATTTGTTAGGATGGTAGCCTGACCAAAGGCTAGCAACCTTGGCGGCTGTCCTAAGGCGTCGAGCCTGCCGCTGACCACCACAGTAATTCCTTTGTTTAAAAGCGTTAGCTGGACAGGCTACGCGAGATGACCTTATACCGTACGCACGCTCACACACGAGCGTACGCAAGGCACAAGGCCCGAGGGTCAACTGGTTGCGTGACGTTATCCCAATGCGGCCAACCAGGCCACAAGAGAACGCGCAGACA